GTCTTTTTTCAGTTGTTGTTCATTTGTTGGTCTATCAGTCTGTTGTTCACCAATTTATTCACATATAATCTATTTTTATTTTTCATTCATCCACCCATCCATTTATTTTTGTCCAATACCTTCATCTATTCATTATTTATCAAAGTTTACATGCATCAATTGATTGTTCAATGCCCATCTGTTTGTTAACCTGTCTTTCATTCCATCCACCCATTCATCTTTAATCCATCCATTGCTTTTCCATCCATCTATTCGTCCATCCATCATTTTCCTACTTTTGTTTACCTATTCTTCCTTCGTATATCCATTCTTCGTCGGTCCATTCATCCATCCTTCGTCCAACCAGAATTTGTCCATCCATCCATCTTTCGTTCAACAATACATCATCCAACTGTGCTTAATTTATACTTCATCTATCCATCCGACCATCCATCCTTCCTTCCAACCATTTTCATTCATCCATTCTTTGTCCAACCTTATTCATTCATCCATGCATACATCCATTATCAAACCCTATTCATCCATCGATCCAATGTCTAACCATATTCATTCATCCATTGTCTAACCATATTCATCCATCCATTGTCCAACCATATTCATCCACCCATTGTCCAACAATATTCATCCATCCATCCATCTATCCATCCATCCATCCTGTCCTGTCCTGTCATATTTATTTTTCCATCCATATATTATTTGTCCAACCATATTCATCTATCCATCCATCCTGTCCCACCACATTCATTCATCCATCCATCAATTCTTTGTCCAACCATATTCATCTATCCATGTATCCTTTACCCAACCATATTCATTTATCCATCCATCAATTCTTTGTCCAACCATATTCATCCATCCATTTATCCTTTACCCAATCATATTCATTCATCCATCCATCCAACCTTTGTCCAACCATATTCATTCATCCATCCTTCGCTCAAGCATACCCCATCCATTTATCCTTTGTCCGACCATATCCATCCATTTATCCATCCATACTTCATTCATTCATCCTTCCATTCATTCTTTGTCCAACCATATTCATTCATCCATCCATCCATCCATCCAATGTCCAACCATATCCATCCATCCATCCTTTGTCCGACCATTTCCATCCATCCATCCATCCATCCTTTGTCCAACCATATTCATTCATCCATCCATGCTTTGTCTCACCATATACATTCATCCATCCATCCTTTGTCCCACCTTATTCATTCGTCCATCCATTCTTTGTCCAACCTCATTCATTTATCCATGATCCATTGATAGGTTGTCACACAATACTTCACCTATTTATTTTTCATCTGCCTATCTAACCATTGATTGCTCATGCAACCACTGTTTGTCTATCATCTATTGATTTGTCTATTTATCCATCTGTCTTTTCATTCCACCCAATATTCATCCAAGCATCTCTTCATCGATTGTTTGTCCATGCATCCTTCATCTTTTGTCCATCAGTTCATCTGTCTGTCTTTCCATTGTTTATCTATACACCTGCTTTTCCATCCATCATGATGTATTGTTGCAATTTTTTATAAATAACTGGCAAGACACTCAGTCATGCATTTTGACATTTTTTTTTATGGCTGACAAACAGTTCTATTCATGCAAAATTAGATGCCTTTACTCAAAGTGTCCCTTTGTGGCTTGTTATTCAGAGCACCATTGGTTCAGACCGCAACATAAAACCTTTATTCATGTTTTCTAACATCATCTGCACTTTTAAGACCAGTAGCACATGGGGCAGCTGGTTTGCGCACACGCCTGAAAAACATGAGCATTATTTTAACTGCAGCCAGATTTTTTTTCTCAAATACCCTTCTCAGGTTACCAGCAGTGCATGCAGCCATTTAAGAGAGCCACCTATTTTCTATTACTTTATTTTTTTTGTCCCAATGCATATAGTATTTTTTGGGAATTCATAATACATTTCCATGACAGACATGCTATTACTCTTCCATAAACAAAGAAAAGATAACACTATGAATTCCTTTTCTGCTAAATGCCTTCTCAGCACAGCAATCAAGACCCACAAACCACACTGGAATTTACAGAGCAGCAGCGCCGCCGTTTGATCTTCTTTAATGGTACATTCGTGACTGGCTGGAAAAAAAATGCTTCAGAAAGAGACTGATCTCAGGTCTCATCTGATTTTCCTCCTCCACCTTTGTTTTGGCTCATAATTTCCACTGAGCGTGAGCACAGTGATTTAACTCTGCCCGTTCAATTTCATGCAGCTGGGTGCAACATTTTTCTTGCTAACATAATTTGGAGTGAATCCAGATTTTGATCTCCCCCCACTGGCAAACATAAGACCCTTCTAGACACTAACTCAAGTCAGCACATTTTTGGATGGAGCAATTACTGACTCGATAATACCCACAGAAATGTCTCGATTAGCAATGTAGCAATGCTTGGATGATCCAACCACAACATTACTCAACTTTATGGTATTTCTACTACTGTGAAAATGTAGTGACTGATATGATAATTTTTTTTTTTGTTGTTGTAAAATATTGCTTAATATTATTTTTAAAAGGTTTTATTTCCCAAAAAAGCACAAGTATTGGATGGTGACTGGTCAGTAAACAAATAGTTTTTATGTCAGCGGCATAATGCTTTGTATTCATTTCATGTAATTCGCACATGGGGTATTTTATATAATCATTTTCCATTTTCTCAATGATTTTAAGCTGATGTAATGTAATGTGATGGGTATGCTGACAAGGGAGTGCGGATCCAAACGCAGGTTAGGTATATTGAGAATAATCAGGCAAGCAACAGTCACAATCAGAAGCAAACAGATGTATGCAGGCTAATCCAAAGTCATGGTCCATAAACAGGCAAACGGTCAGTACAGGTGGCGAGGTATCGCATTGTGATGTTCACAAAGACAGGTAAACAAAACTCAGCCATGAGAGTCTCAAGTGAGCCGTATATACAGTTGAAGTCAGAATAATTAGTCCCCCCTTAATTTTTTTTTCTCTTAAATATTTCCTAAATGATGTTTAGCAGAGCAAGGAAATTTTCACAGCATATCTGATAGTATTTTTTCTTCTGAAGAGTATTATTTGTTTTATTTAGGCTCAAATAAAAGCAGTTTTTAACCATTTGAAGGACAAAATTATTAGCCCCTTTAAGCTATATATACATTTTCGATAGTCTACAGAACAAACCATCATTAAACAATAACTTGTCTAATTACCATAACATGCCTAGTTAACCTAATTAACCTAGTTAAGCCTTTAAATGTCACTTCAAGCTGTACAGAAGTGTCTTAAAAAATATCTAGTCAAATATTATTTACTGTCATGACAAAGATGAAATAAATCAGTTATTTGGAATGAGTTATTAAAACTTTTATGCTCAGAAATGTGTTGAAAAAAAATCTTCTCTCCGTTTAACAGAAATTGAGGAAAAAAATAAACAGTGGGGCTAATAATTCTGACTTTAACTGTAGTGTAATCAGTCCATGAGCAGCATCCGCTGATTGAGTCTAATCAAAGGAGACTTATAGAAACGGGTGTGTGTGTGGTGCCTGACAGCACTTTTAGTCCATATGGAGGTAGGATTGTAGTCCATGTAAATGTAAATGTTCTCCAGCGATCTGTAAAGGTTAGATCGCAGGTGATAATGACAAAATTATAAATGGGTAATATTAATAAATAAAAGTAATAATGATTGTAATAACTCACTTATGCTTTAATAACAGTGATTTGCACATACAATGTCAAAAGTAGGGCTGCATGATATTGGAAAAAACTGACGTTGCAATGTGTAGTTTTTCAAGTTTTTAATTTTTAAAAAAATTTTTTTTGTGCACATCTGCATAGATAGATATCACATTGTGATATTGATACTGAAAAAATTTATTTTGCAGTCCAAGTCTAAAGTGCTTTTTTTTCTTGCATGAAGTTTTATAGTTATTTTATTACTGTATATAAGTACAATGGACAACTTATTACTTGATTTCACTCTGACAATAGACTATAAGTAACCTTTAATAAATAATGTTTTTTCTAAATACAGCACAAGTGACAATCACATTTTATTTTGATGGTCTGTTTGTTGAATTTAATTTATATTGCATCTACATGCCAACTAATTTTCATTAGATTATAAGTATACTGTTTGGTTAGGTTTAGTTGAAGTTGACATGTACTTGCAAAGTTTCTTATAGTCAGTTAAATGGCTGTTGAAGAATCAGTATTAGCAGATATTAAGCAGAGAAGTGACACATCTGTCTTATAAGTTTAATAATTGCTCTATTTAATTTCTGTGTAGTAGGTTATTATTTTAGTAGTTATTACTGTAATATTTTTCCCCTTTTGTTGATGGTTTCCCCTCACTGATGTTTGTTGACATTGAAACTGCTCTGCAAGAACAGATTAAGTGGTAGGGGTCATTGTAGGGGTTTTATTTACTGGGCCTCCTCACAGAAATTTGCCCTCAGGAGTCATGGACCAACACTGCTTGCTCTTGTTTTGACACTAAGAGTAAAGGATTTCCAATTTGCGGTGTCTTGGGTAGACACCTTATAGCTGTTGCAACATCAGCGACTGGCTCTATTTAGTATACACACAGTTCTGTTTATTTATTGAGTATTTTATTGTTTGCATGAATTATGTCTCTTGACTTTTCTCAAGTTGCAAATCACATTTAGCAAAATTAATGGATACAATTTGGGACACACACACACACACACGCACACACAAAAGAGCTTTGAAAATACCAAGGCCCATTTCAGCACACAGGATTTACAATATAATTTTATGACCCCAGGGTTTTAATAATTTACGGTTGGTTTCAGTACGTTGTAAGAACAACTCATGTTTACATAAAAACCCATTTCTCTGTGGAGGAATGATTGGGAGTTTACTACCAGAACTGTTGCACTCTGTTGCTTAAGATATTTTTTTTTATTTGTGGCTTGGCATGGCAGAGTAACAGAGTTAATTCCATGTTTTCTTTCTCTTTTTTTTTTTCTCTGTAAGGCCTATGCCAAATTTGCTGGTGCTCCTATCAAAGTTCACAAAATCACCAACCCATGGAGAAGCCCTACAGGTGAGCACACTTAAGAAACATGCTAAGTGAACATACTTGTTTATCTAAAAAACAATGCTGAAAGTCATTCTGCTTTGAAAATGTGTTTACCGTGCTGGAACGCTGTCTTTGTTTTGGTCATTTTAACCTGCCCAATGCCACTTTGGCCAAGTATATTTCAGCACCCCGGGTTGCCTTGGTGGAAAAACGCATATTTCAAAAGTTTTAAAAGTTGATAAATCAATTATGAGAAAAGTAAGGTCCTTTAAAAGGTTTTTATGAGGTCTTAAATTTTGTTCAAGCGTTGTCCAAAGTGTTTGACTCCAAAAAAAAAGTATAAATATATTTATTATCTTCCTAATATTAACAACGGCATGCTCGATCCATGCGATTTGGTTTGAGCCAGAGTGTGTCTGGCCCCGATGGGTAATGTCACGTAATTTGCCACAAATGTGGGAAGGTGATGTGTGACTCTCTCCAAAAAACCATGGAGCGAAACAGACGGCAATACGGGAAAATGTATGTTTCCGTACTCCTGGTTGGAGAAAGACGAGTTTAAACAGTGGCTGAAGACTGTCGCTGAAAACAACTAAATAATTTATTCTTTCAAGCTTTGTTTCTTTCAAGCTTATCTGGGTTCTGTTGCAAGATTGTGTTTCACTGATTTATTTAACTTCATATGTCTATTAATAACTGTTTATTAAGTTAAAGGTCGATGCTGATTAGAACTTTAAGTGGCGACGAGGTCTTAAAATATTCGAGAAGGTCTTTAAAAAGTCTTAAAATGGTATTGAAATTACATTTAGGATTCCTGCATATACCCAGAAAAGCTCTGAAAGCATGCGTCCTTGACCAAATGCGACCTCCGGTTGCAGTAGCAGACTCCGAAATGAGACGCAGATTATTATTATTAACTAGATACGCTGTGATAAGCAATTTGGCTGTTTGCACCAGACAAAACACGACAGAAATTTAAATACAGCCATTCAGAAGCATAGAATATGCACTGACTAATAAAATGGTAAGGTTTATAATCTATTTAATACATATTAACCCTCTTTAACATTATTAAATGTACATGCTGAATCACTGATATGTGTTTAGTTCTAAAGTTCAATTTCAGATGGTTTATTTTATTTTCAAGATCTGACGTGAACTATCTGCTGCTGCTTACATTAGTATGGCAATAAATGTAAAATGACATTCAAACTCACATTGTTTGCATTTAACACTGAATAAAGCAGCAGAGGTTTACCTGAGGTGATCATTGTAATAGGACAATCTCCTTTTAATATGGCAAATATTCTTTTTAACAGGTGCCGTTGCTTTTATTTAGAACTGTTTAAATCACTCGTTCCTGTCCTCATTCTGGCAACCTGCGCTTGAGTTTGTTTTTATCCAGAAATGCAATACCTAGTTCAGCCACTGGGTTTCAAACTTGCATACTGCACCTTTAATATCTAAATAGAAGCTTTTAATGTAAATATGAAGTCACAATATGATGTGTTACATAAGAACGATCTGAATGACCGCTATGATAAATCTAGTATTTAGAGAATTCTGGTAGTTTCAGCAAGAAGATGTAAAAACGATAACATAAGTGTACATCAATTACAACTTACTCCTATTAAACAACCTTCCAGTGTATAACCCACTGATTTATATAAAATATTCTCTATTATAAATTCTTAAAGAGACAATTATAGATAATAGGTCTGACCTCAAAGGACATAACTAAAAAAACTGAACCAGAGAATTTGTACGTGTCAAAAAATGAGCCACACCAGCATTATTTATTAATATACAATATATTGTTTAATCATCAATCTACCCAATTGCATGAAGGTGTATACAGGCTGTTTCTAACTACTAATTTTGTTCTAAATGACATTACACCGGTTCATTCTTTGATTGTGTGTTGGAACTTTCAGACTTCAGTTGTCAGCTGATGTGTGAGTATGTTCAAGTGCCAAATGCTGAATGACAGCTTGTGTATTTGCTGTCGGAGGAGACTTTAGAGCACATGCTACACCCTTTTTCAGTTCAGGACAGAGTTCAACAGGTCACTTATTCAGCGGTTCAAGCATCCATTGAATTCTGTTACCCTGTCTGAAGAGCATTTAGTAGTGTATAGTTTAATGAGAGATTTCTATTTTCTCACTCTCTCCCAACAGGTTCTCTACCTGCTCTGAAGACGAGGGAGGAAGGAAGCATCTCCCAACCCAGTAAAATCATCATTCATCTCCGGAAACAGGTGAATGACCCCCTCTTAACTCTCAGAGGATAATGACCTTCGAGGGCAAAATGAGTTCACACGCTCTCTCTTACACAAACACACACACACGCGCACACACATGCACATAAACACACTCTCTCAACAGGTGAGGATTAGTCACTAAACTCCTCGGCATCTAAATCAAGACCTACATCCTCTGAAAACAGGTGAAGGATTTTCCTTGAACCAGTTCATAAGCAGAGACTAAGCAGGTTTTGAGAGGTTGTTGAGGCTGTAAAGACAGATGTTCTGAACCTCTTTTTAAAGGAAATTGTTAATGAATTGGAAACCAAGATGCTAAATTCAAAGCAAACATACAATTGAAGATGAGCCTGTACATTTTATTATAAATAGTGAATAGTTATTAAATGAAAAGTATAACGTAATGGACTCTACCATTATTTAATTGGTTAGTGAAAGGTATAATATTTTATATAGCAAGGATAGTCAAATGTATCACCATGGCAGAAAGACATTTAAAATAAAAAAATGAAGCAATACTTGAACATTGGTAATAGTGAGCAGTGTTGGGCACGTTCCTTTAAAAGAGTAATTAGCTATTATTACTAGTTACAGTGTTCAGCATAATTCAGTACACCCCATTTTGAAAATGTATATTTTTATCCATTTCTCTGTGAATATAGGCAATGCATTCTGGTGTATTTAAACGAAACAGATTTATTAAACAGATTTATTTATTAAAATAATATTTTAGTCACCAAAAATATTTAGAAATTGAAAGATAATACAATCAAATTCAAGCCAAATATTGCAAAAAAAAATTAAAATTTACAAAATTTCAGCTAAATCTTTACATTTATTTGCCTCTTGATTTTTCTTCTTTTTAAAATTTGCATGTAATGCAAATTTATTGCATTTAACTAGTTTTTGGACCATTATCGCAAGTTATTTTGTTAGATAAGCTCCAGATTTGGCTTCAGTACTGACTAATCTAATATATGTGCACAAATATAATATTGTATAGCTTCCTATTAAAAATATGAATTTAAAAGATAGATTTGTGAGGCGTGTACTTGTATATACTGAGCACTGTACTTCTCATAAATAGTAACTGAGTTACATTATTTTAAATGTAACTAACAACCAGGGAAAATAACTATTGCGTTACTTTAAGAAAATTTTATTTGTCAAATGACTATATAATAAATAAAAAAATTTTACACTAAACTGCACTATTTTAATGTTGTTGTGGGACAATGTGAGATGATGATCGGTGTGTTTGTGAACAGGTGAACACATGCACTACTCTGCCTCTTATTGGCAAACAATGGAAATGGACTCCATTTGATATCATCACATTCCCAGTTGCACCACAGTCACAGACACACCAGTCATCATCACTAGTTGGATATGTGTCCTGCCCCAGCCCCGAACACACACACACACACCCACCCCATAGAAAGAGAGGTCCTATGGCTGAAAGAGATATTGCTTGCATAAAAAAACTTCAGTGTTCTCAATCATAATATAGTTGTGTTTATAGTATAGTATTTTCAGTAACGGCAACGGCGTTATAACGGGGGAAACAGTAGTTCATTTGATTACTCCTAACTGAAAAAAGATCATCGTTAGTAATGGTGTTTATTTATAGCACCGTTATTTCCCTCACTGATAGTAAGACATGTTTAAATATTAGAAGGGCCTCTAAAGATCTTTTTAAAAAATCTAAGAATGGGTACTGATTCTGAGAATTGCTATAATTGCTACACATCAATAAATTACATTTTGAAAATACATTAAAAGCAAATACATTTATTAAACGTTGAAAATATAGTTTATAATTTTAATTTCTACCAAATAAATAAAGTCTTTAAAAGTCTCAAGATATTAAAATAAATCATTTTAGATGTTAGTTTCTGTCTGTTAGTTTTATGGATATCTATTTGCTAGTGTGCTCAAAAACAGTAAAAAAAAAAGTGCGCTTAGAAAACATAAAACTGATATAAACATCCAAAGCTTGCAGTTTGTCACTTATGCCTAAATCTATTAACATTTTTTATTTATGTCACCTCATACTTCAGTTTCTCATTAAATCTTGACCAATTGAAGGCTCTCTAGTGTCTGACATGTCACGTCTCTTCAAGATTCCTCTCATTTGCTTTTTCATTTCATCCGCTTGACCTCAACCACTCTCACTGGCAGAGCTGTGATAAAACAAAATTTTTATCACAACGAAGTTATTGGCTGTTTTTTAAAAGGGGAGGAGCTACTGTTCCTTAATTTTTCATTTGACATTGTCAAACGTCAAATAAAAATACTCATTTCAAAGCTCTTCACAGCACCCTTAAATAGACTTTTTTTCAAAGTACTAAAGCAAAAACAAAAATAGGAAATATTTCAGTAACACTTTCTATAAAGCCCATGCTCATAAAGAATTAAAACTCCTGTTTATAATTATTTATGACCTGATCGACTAATTAATACTATAATGATGTCAAATAAGTCAAAAGTGCATAGTGTATTTTGAACGTGCATTAAAATGTATCATTAAATAATCATTATTAGCACTATTATAAATGTAGCTATATCTGTCATTTATAATACAGTATAGATCTTGTGTCTTTATAGATGCAATTATTAATTTTAGTTCTGCTTGATCAATAAATAAATATAAACAGTTGTAATTGATTATGACCATGGCCAATACTAATATTTCATCACAATTCACACACAAATCTTAGTAAAATTATTACTATTTAAAAATCCACTTTTTAAAGGGTCACGAAACACCAAAACACATTTTTTGAGCTGTTAACAGTCATATATGTGTCCCACACTGCTAAAAACACTATAAGGACACCTATATTTCACTAAAAAGTGTAAATTGGTTGTTTTTGCGTTATTTCAAGCAAATTCGTACTTCCGGTTTGAAACGATTTTTTGAAGCTGCGTCACGGCCATGACATAATAGCGTTGTATTCCAGCGTGCAGACTGGGCGTCTGTGCCAGAGTGTGTCTTATTACGTCTTACAGTGTGATGCATTAATGCATGAGTAAAGCTTGGTTCAAACCAATCAGCGCGCTCTATTGTGCAACTTCATTAATATTCATTACTGTCAGAGTGTAGACGGCAGAGACGCCACGTTGTGTTGGCAAAACAAGCGTGAAGTGTTGCTTTTATAGTTTGCTGCCGTTAAGTTTTGTTTTCATTTTCTCTCTGTGAGAGCGCAGCTGGCGTCACGTGTGAATTAACAGTGTACGCGACGCACGACAACAATAACTTATGTGTCTAAAGAGGATTATTGTTTACCTGAGAGCTGTTTTTATCTGCAAACGCTGAGATCCGGATTCGCTTGTAGTCTCCTCTAAATAAAGACGCGGCTCTAGTTGCTGGTGATTGTCCTGTCTCTACAGATTTGGTAAGTGAGCGACCAGTGCTCTTTGTTTATTCAGTTCGTATTTTATTTGTATCAAACAAACTATTGCACCGAGTGTAAACAAGTTAGCACTAACAGTTACAATTAAACTATAACCTCATGTTGGATTTTGTGACCGGAATAACACACGCGACTTTCTGACACTACCTGCCGTGTGCATCTAAATTTCCGGGAAATGCTGAGTTTTTTTTTTTCTCTCATTCGCCGTGCGGTATCAAACATTGCATGAAAAATACACGCTTAGAGCAGTTCCTCGAATCAAATATCACGTTTGTCAGGAGGGACATGAATGAATTCCCTGAATGAAAGAGTCAAACTGCAGTTAAAGTCCACCATTTAATAATTTGGCAAATAATTCGACTACAGATGTCCATGTAAACACAGTCACATTGTCCGCTGTGGTTGTGTGTTTTGACTCTGAAATTCAGCGTGCCCAAATAGACACTCCCACACCAAGCCTCTTTTCTTCCTCCGACACTCCCCCCTAAACAGAGCTGGACACGCCCACTTTTCTGACTTTTTCCAAAGTAGAGGAGTGAAAACACCCTGCTGAAACGAGGGGGTTTCATGGCCCTTTAAAGAAATTATCCCTGAATATGAAACTTTAAGTAAAGCAGAAAGTCAAATTTTCCTCTGCTCCACAAATGTTTGCAGGTTATTTAAAAGAGAAGTACTTAACAGGCTTTGCCAGTTTTCACAATTAAAAAAAGACCCATATCATTTAAATAATTCTAGCCATTGTTGGTCATGTTAGCTGTCAGAATCACGGTTTCCCAATAACAGCTGCTGTGTCTTGTAAAGGCGGGGTGGGTATGGCATGAGCTTTTATAGCTTGTTAGTGGTGAGTTAAGAGCATGAACAACATGTCCAAGTCACTCTCATGAAAGAACTCTGGAAACTTTCCCATTTTATTGCTAAAACCCTTTCCTCATTGTATCCACTTAATCCTTGAGAGAGTTTTTTGGCATTGCAGTAGACAAACTTATCATGTCTAAACGCATTATGGCCCGTTACATTCACTGCCAACAGTCACATTAACAACTGCTGTTATACTGGAGCTGCTGCTGGGATTATTAGACACTGCTTTTCACTTTTACCATCAATTCAGAGTATAATTCAGTGCAAATCTGATAAGTGTTCTTGGCTGATACATTTTTTTTTTGATGGTTGATACATTTTGTCTATTTTAGAAGTACAACGCAGACTATGATTTATCAGCGAAGGAGGGTGCAGATACACTTGCCTTTGTCTCTCTACTGGAAGAAAAACTGCTACCTGCACTGGTGAGAAATGAGCTATAAAACACAATCATCTACTGTATATAAACATAATATAGCGTATATAACATATATAACACAATAAAGATAAACCTCAATGTTCACTTCTTTTGCATTACATTTTTTTTGGTTATTTGTTTATAAAAAGGATCGACAAACCAGAACAGTGTTGGAATATTTAAATATTTATTGGAATAATTTATTTTTGTAATAATTATAATAATTATATTTGTAATAATTATATATTGGATACAAATGAGTAATTTGATGAACTGAATTCTGGTATCCTATCTATAGGAATGCAAGAATTACTTTCAGGAGGTGCACACTAATTTACATTTCCTTACTTCAGCTTTTATACGCAGCTGATATTAACAGGTGGATTTTAGTGGAAGTTGTCACTTGTCAATTATTCTCCAGTCCTCCATTGGCCGCACCCATACATACATCCTCTTTTTCTAAGAATTCTCTGCACAACTTTAAAAGCATAAGACTTCTTAACTGCACATATTCAGTGTTCAGTTTTGATCCATCTCTGCTCACAGGAAGTTTAGCTGCAGAGCGCAAGTTAATTTCAGACATTCAGGTCTTTGCATTTCCATCAGCTCCTTCTACTTCTGTAAAAATGCTACATTAGTATGCAAGGCATGTCACACTCAGAGAAGAAGTTTGGTTTATAGATCACCTTTAGCAATACAAATACAATTATTTAAAGAAAAAAAAGAGACAAAAAAAGTTAATATATGCTGCATGCTTTAATTCATCCTAATAATAGAATATGACGCAAATCTTGGTTGTGAGAAAACAACAGTTAAGGAAACATCTTATTTTTATGAAGTCATTTTTTTCTTGCACCTTATTTGTTAAAGTGGTAGTTAGTACCCAAAAAAAAAAAAAAAGAGTCCTGTTAATTTATTCACCCACAGATCATCTAAGATATGGTGACCTTTTTTCTTCGGTAGATAAAAGCAGGAAAGCTGGTGATATGCAGCAAACTGCATCCCCTGACCTCCCGTCAAAGCGTGCCTCTTGCTTTCATCATCAAAAGAGATCGGACTACATTCACACACTCACTGAGAACTGTTTGACCTGGCTGTGAATTAAAACTAATAATATTGTAAATAATGTTCAGTTTCTTACACGGACTGATCAATTTGCTTCAGAAGACCTCAGTGTGTCTTCAGGAGCCATGGCTAATCATTTAAACTTGTTTGTATGTGTTTTTTTTATCCTAAAAAACCTTCACTGCCATAATATGAATCACCAAGGATCACAGATTCAGCTCAAAATCTTCTTTAATATTCTACCTACCTCTTAGATGACCTGTGGGGGAGTAAATGAACCGTAATTGACACTTTGGGGGCATTTTCTATCCCTTTAAAGCAAGCGGCTTTAGAAAATATAAAACATGCTTTGTCATAATCAGTAATAATTGCAAAGATTATTCATGTCACTTTTTTGACACAAAATATGATGGAATAAATACATTTTAATATGATATGAATAATATTATAGTAATAATATTAATATTATTATTATTATAATATATAATAATATAATATTATATTATAATTAGTTTATTATAATTCTTAAGGCCTTAGCTCACTAAATCGTGGATCTGAGAAAAATCACTTTAACCGCTTAAACTCTGTGGATCCATTACCTGGTCCGTGACATCATTGACTTTTGCTTTAAGATTTAAAGGGCTAGCATTGCACCAGACCCCCGTAAGTGATTTCGTTTGAAAGTGTAGAATCTAAATTTTATGCACATATGCATTAATTTGGTTTTTATTCTACTGTACAAAAGTTATTTACACTTAAATACACAGTATTTTGGATACCCGAGCTGGGTGTTTTACATTGGTTCGTTTTCATATTTTTCATATGACACATGTACAAGTTATAGCATATATGGTTCTTGCATTCTTTTTACTGAATTATTTTCACATATCAAACAGTTGCCGAATGAATCGCAGTGTTTCCATGGCGCAGAAATGAAAACAATACATTCATGATCAATAAGCAGCCCCAAATAGTACAGACAGCTGTTATCTCTTATCTTATGCTGTGTGCTTCTTGGCCATTCTCCTCTGTTTTTGAGGTGATGTGCATAAGTAATATACATAAGTGTCTGATGTGGTCCAAACGTAGTAAATTATGTTTGATTAAACAAAAGAATAGTGAAATATGAAAACAATCCTGAAAAGGTCCCTGTGGCTTGTATAGCACCTCTCATCAGTTGGAATACAATAACTTTTGCATAGATAATGGTAGAGACATTTTTCTTTTTTTCTTATGATTACAGACATGTGCAGGAACCACCAAAATTAATTACAGCACGCTAGACCACACAGTACCTAAAAGGTACACTTTCAAATTTGAGTTCATAAAAAAAAGGTGTTTTTTTAGGTGTTTATTATAACACAGACAACATATACAGTTATTTTAAACAATTTAAATTGTGTTTTATGAAAATTCAAAGGGTTTTCTTTAAAATGATACCAAATTTTTGCATTTACACCTCTGCATGTGGATTTGGGAAACTTTTAAATTTGGGTAGGCAAAATCCAGGCAAAAAAAACAAAATAGCAGCTGAGTTAAACTGGTTAAACAATTTGGCTGGAGAACAAAATAATTATAGTTAGGACACTAGAAATCTAGCAATTATAGAAAAATAACACCATTAGATCAAGATGCATATCCACATGATAAAGAAGGTTCTGAAAATTTCAAAAATATTAGTAGTTAATTTTCATAATTATAATATTTAGGTCACACTTTACAATAAGGTTCATTAGTTAATGTCAATTAATGCATTTAATAACATGAACAAACAATGAACAATACATTTACTACCGTATTAGTTCATGCTAGTTAACGTTAGTTAATGAAAATACAGTAGTTCATTGGTAGTTCATGTTAACTCATGGTGCATTAACTAATGTTAACAAGCATGGACTTGGATGTTAATAATGCATTAGTAAATGTTCAATTATGATTAATAAATGCTGTATATGTGTTGTTCATGATTAGTTCATGTTAGTAAATGCATTAACTAATGAACCTATAAGGGTTACCAATATTTATCATCACTATAAACAAATTATACATATATGTAATTATAATAGTGCTACGATTCAACTTCTTAACACTGATTATAAAACATCTAAGAGTATGTGTCTGTTGTATAAGTGTGATTTCTGATGAGTTTTTATTTTATTTATTTTTTGTTTTGTTAAATTTAACCTATTTAAATATGAATGTTATGATGAATCATGATTTGTATGCAGACTTAATGCACTGGTTTGTGTGTACGCATGCCTTGAGCGGCCTAGTGGCATGAGTTGTTTTTACAGTTTAAAAAAAATAATTGTATAATTATCCAAAGAGGCAAATAGTAACTTGTGAATAAAGCACATTTTCCATTCTATTTTCTAAAGAATTTAATCGCCTTCTGAAATGCAAGTATCAGTAATATTAATAGAAGTTGCTGCAGTGAGGGAAACCACTGTAGTTCTTTTTTCTTACACCATAAATGATTAAAAGTGGCAGACGACACAAGCAATAACAAATGCTATCATGTTATCATGCATTCAGATGTGTTATGTTTTGGAACACAGGCTTGTAATGATAAGAATGACTAAAATGAAAATAAAAAAAAATTGGCAAATCTTCAAAAGATTCCACACAAACCTACACTACCTGATCACATTACTGTTGCCTATCCAAGTTTTAGGAACAACAAATAATAACTTGACTTCTAGTTGATTATTTGGTTTCAGAAGTGACTTACATGAAAGGCAAAGGCCTCAGGATTATGCTTATTTTACCAAAATAAATCTTACACCAGACATGCTCAATAATGTTTATGTCTGGTGACTAGGCTGGCCAATCCTGAAGCACTTGACCTTTTTTTGCTTTCAGGAGGTTTGATGTGGAGGCTGAAGTATGAAAAGGAGCGCTATCCTGCTGAATAATTTGCCCTCTCCTGTGGTTTGTAATGTAATGAGTAGCACAAATGTCTTGTGACCTCAGGCTGTTGATGTTGCCATCCACTCTGTAGATCTCTCGCACGCCCCATACCGAATCTAACCCTAAACCATGATTTTTCCTTCACCAAACATGACTGATTTCTGTGAGAATCTTGGGTCCAATAGGTCTTCTGCAGGATTTGTGAAGATTTGGATGCAGCTCAACAGATGATTCATCAGAAAAATTTACTTTCTGCCACTTTTCCAAACGATCAACTTGAAGTCACGTTATTATTTGTTGCACTTACAACTGGGATAGACGACAAGACCTTTGCTAGTGTATAACATAATTACTATGGATCAACAGTTGTCCAGAGACATTTGCCTACAGCAACACACTTTTCTTAAAGTTTTCCTTTGGCGAGCTGTTTCAAACTCTTGATAAACTCCGAACCTTTATTAATTAATTTTAGCCTAATTTTGTCTAAAATTACACCACAGTACTTCATTTTTTTTTATTTAATTTAAAGAAATAGGTCATCTAAAAATGAAAATCTCTCATCATTTATTCACCATCATTTACTTTTTTCAAAACTTGAGATTCTCTGGTTGCTGCATTAAACACACAAGAAAATATTTTGAAGAATGCTGAAAATCTGTAACCATTGACTTCCTTAGTAGGAAAAGGAAATACTTTGGAAGTCAGTGGTTACATGTTTTTATATCTTCTTACAGAGAAAAGAGACTCTTTAAAACCATGTAAAGGTAAATGTTGACTAAATTAAAAATTTTGGGTGAACTATCCCTTTAAAATAGACTGGACCTGTACTGTCCACAAGTCTAGTATATTTTTTGTGCTTCACGATGATACCATTCAAATTCTTTTCACTGTTCCCCTGAGGACATCTATCATGTTTTACTGATGTGCTGCAGATCCTGTTTTCCACTTAAAACTGTAAAACTGAGACTTTAACAGTCTTAGTGGAACTCATCTGGAGTTCTGAGAAACTTTCTGATCTTTTTCTTTCCATGTAGGTCTACACGCTGTGGATAGACTCTAAAAACTATGTGGATGTTACACGGTGTTGGTATGCAGAAAACATCCCCTTCCCTCTCAACTTCCTGCTGCCCAACCGCATGCACAGCCAGCAGCTGGAGAAGCTGAGACTGGTGAGGGGAGACCCAGTGCTGGAGCCTGGAGAACAGCTGGAGAAAGAGGTGAGGTGAGGGGGGAAGAGAAAACAATGAAGAGTTCACTTTAGAGAAATGTGCTCTCCTTCAAAATTTAAAATGCCAAACATATTTATGAAGGAAATGTATGTAACATGAGAAAAAAACATTATGGCGTACACTATTGCGTATATGCTAATATGTAACACATTATAGTAGACAACAGGCAGATATAAATCACTTCTGTAAATCGCATGCTTTATGTGATTTAATAAAAAAAATAGCTGCCAAAATAGAAATAAAGTATCTCGATTTTTATAGAAATATTAAGCTGAAAAATTAAGTTTTAACCCTTGTGTGAGATGTTTTCATTCACTCTTGGTTGATTTTTGAGGCTTAATTTGGCCACAAATGTATTTATCTGTGTTTCAGCAGATGCAATGGTTTTTGTGACAAGTATTAGTTTGACACACATTTTGGAAAATGCCTTGGAATTGTTAAAAAAAACTTAACAGTACAGTCTGGGCAAATTGACTATTTTCTTATGTTAGTGGCTGTTTGTGCCCCATTGATATCCATTTTAAAACAAGATTGTTTGATTGTTAAGTCTTGACACTATGGTTCCTATCATACACTTGGTGCAATAAGGCGCACAATATGTTTGGCCTGATTTGTTGCTATTTTTTTTGTAGTGGCACAATCCTAATTTTCCCGCTTTGTGACACGTTGTTTAAATAGTAAATCCACTTGAGCCAAATCCATTTGCACCACTCATGGGTGTTCCAATCTAAAAAGGAGGGGTGTTAAGGCGCATTGTTGGTGCACTGTTATTTTTAAGAACTAAAATAGACTGTGCAATTGACCAGCTAAAAGCAGGTCTAAAATCCAGTGCAAAGCGCGTTACTTGTGCGCATTAAAAGCGTATACATTGTTTAATATCCGGCAGCTAGCTCTCTGCAACTCTCACATGGTCAAACACTGAAGCTTAAAGGACTGAAATGTTACAAAAATTATTACTTTCTACCTAAATATAAAAAACTACCTGCGTGCCTTCATCTAGGGGGGCTTTTTTCGTGTAATGCATGATAATTTGCTTTCATATAATGTTGTTGTTGTTGTTGTTGTTATTAGTAATATTTATTACATGCATGTTTATATATTTTTTTTTATAAAAACAAGTTTAGATTAGTCCACCTGTCGGGTTTTGGATACGTCTGCATCACCATATGGGGCATAAGAATAGTGCATGTGTTTGGATAAAACTCAGTTTTTTTGCCCAGACTTCATTATTATTATTCATTTATTCGTTTGCTGGAAATTAGATCTGAATTTAGAAATAGTTTTGAAACAAATCTTTGCCCTTAACAAACTAAATTAAATATATTGGCTAATGCATGGCTTCAGTTGAGTGCATACAACACCGTTGCCTTATTCAAGAAAGTAAAGTTAAGAGAAAGTAAGGAGGCCAAATGGAGGAGGCTCGTGCTTTATCCTCAGGCAGATGGTGTGTTAAACTGACTCTGGTTGGTTTACACATGTGGTTTGCACATTATGCTCAAAACACACCCAGAACTCATTAAGCACAACCCTGTTAGACCATGCGCCACAGTGCAAACCATATTTTTCCATCCTT